TCATATCCAGCAAAAGGCACCCGACCTGGAAACCGCTGTGGAGGGCAAGTTCCGTTTCAAGCTCGTCGAGCCAACCAGCCACGTCGGCCGAGCCCCCAACAGTCTGGTCCCAGGGTCCGTGCGCCCCACAGTCCCAAGCCGTGATGAAGGTCTTCCTGATGCGCAAGAGAAGCGTATAAACAAAGCCGAGCAGCGCAATGGGCTTTTTTCCACCGTCAGGCTTCGGAATGAGGGCGATCAAAGCAAAAAGCTGCTGAAACGGCAAAGTGCACTGCTCCTCAATGGACTCCAGAAGCTGAATGAGGTGGAGCTTGGCCTCAACACTAGCCTCCTTGATTAGGCGCGGCTCAATAAAATCCAAGCCCTGACCCCTGGAGTCAGGCAACGACTTGAGCGCGCGATCAAGGGTGTCCAGGCCGATTGGTGGCAAACGCGGGGACGACCGAGCGCACTTACGCAGGGCAGCTAACGCAGCCCGCGCCTCGTCTTTGTCGTGCTGTTGCCATATGGCCGTCCAAGCGGCCGCTTCAAATTCCAGGAGCTGGTCGAGGGCTGAGCAGGGTCCTTCCTCGCCGATCTTTTCGGCCTCCAGAGGGTCCAGGGGTGGCTTCAACAGCCGATGGGCCGGCCCCGCAGACCTGCAAAGCGCCCCCTGGAGCCAGGCCTTCCGCGAAGCCTTCTGAGCCTGAAGAGCGTCACGGTGGGATTTTTCAGACACCTGCTGAAGCTCAACTAGCAGGTCTTGCAGCCCGTCGAACGGCAGCTCCGAAATACGCTGAAACCGAATCTTCCACAAGTTAAAGGTTCCACACTGACCCGCGTCGGAAGGGTCAGACGGGGGAGGGGGCACCTGCAGAGAGAGCCAAGCCAAAGTGGCACGAAATTCAGCTGCATGCTTACGGTCAGGCTGCGGCGGGATATCCTCTAAGGAATCCTGTGGGACAAGCTTAAGCAACAGCCTGAGTTTGACAAAGGCAGCTTGCCAGAAACGGGCGTCACGGTCTGCCTGGCAGGGCCCCTCAACCTGGGCGGCCATGAGGGGCACCAACCGAAGCCTGGGCTCCTGGCACCGGCCTATAAACTGGAAAACCTGATCCTGGGCCAAACCAAGCTTCGAGAAGGCCTCGAGCTCCAGAGCAACGATCCAGGTGGACAACTGGGCGCCTAAATCAAGGGGGGCCTGGATGTTGTCATGTTCGAGCTTGAGAAGACTGGCAGCGGCATAGTTGGCCTTGAAGAAGTCTGGCCGCTTACGTTGCAGCAGCTGCGCGCGCACGAGGAAGTGCGGCCAGGCTTCAACAGGGGCAGCTACGCCTTTGACGGGAATGGGCTTAGGTCGCATGGCCTTCCAAACCATGATGGCCCTGGGAGAAGCCAAAACCTGGAACTCCAAAGCGGCGTGAGTGCCCCAAGGCACTGGAACAAGCGACCTAAACTGGACGGCGCTAGAGAAGCTAGCAGAGACCAAAGCGTAATCGACCCGACTGGTGGAGACCCCAGAGCACGTAACAGAAACACCAGGCATAGGAACAGGCACGAGGCCGAGAGGCTCCAGCCATCCTGACTCCTCGAGAACACTCTGGTCCACCTGCCAGTCGCCCACCACAAAGGCGGGAACACCTGCCGCGCTCAGATGGGCGCCGAGGTCCGCCAGCAGCTCGAGGTTCTGACCGCTGAGCTCACCCCCCGTGACCAAGTAGACAGGGACAATGGTCAGGGAAACCTTCCGAAGCCTCAAAGTACACATCAACCACCTCGCCGTTCCAGCCGTAGTCCACTCACCCGCCTCGCATGTTAACTGTGAAAGCCCAAGATGAGAACGCGCGGCGACCAGAACACCTGACGATGCATCATCAGCGAGCGTGGGCTCTGCGGCCTGCGCCACAACCTTCCAGCCCAGCTTGTGCAGCTTCTTGGCCATCGCCTGGTACTTGGAACCGCGCGTCCTGTGCTCGACAAAAATGATGATGTCTGCCGAGCATGCTGCAACCCACCTGCAAGCGGTTGGGCCCCATGCGCTGATGTTGGAGTAGACAATGGACAGGGAACGCTGAGGGGCGGTGGCGCTGTCAGGGTCGGGCCCAGGCCCCTGACTCCCCTCGTAATGCTCCAGCAAAACAGGTCCGCCGCCTGATCCACTCGGGGCACCACAGGGCGATTGCTCCAACCCCGTGGGCCGCAGGGAAAGGTTCGACTGCCCTGCGACCAAAGAACCTGTGGAACCAGGAGTTCCAGCAGCACAGACAGGCGATCCACCAGTAAAGACGATAGCACCAGGGCCTGAGGCACGGTTGGAGGTGTCAAACTCACGCTCAGCAAGGACCAAGGAGCGGGCGTGGCGACGACGTTCCTCTTCCCATGCATCAGGGTCTGACTGCGAAAGCAAACGCATGTTGTTATGGTAGCGAGCCCTCACGCTCCTTCTGGAGCTCCAGGCTGAAAGACAGATGTCACGCGCCATGTCCCGCCTCACAAGAGCCAAGTTCACCATGCCAGTCCGAGCCGACTGCTCCAAGGCGAGAGGGTCGTAAACACCCTGGGTAAGCAAGTCGGCAACATAAGTGACGCACAAGCGCATCCAATAATCTTGGTTGGCGGGCTCATCCAATATACTCGGGTCCTGGAGCCAGAAGTTAGTGTATAATCGAAGACGGCGCTCCATGATGAGACGCTGATGAATGGCCTCACGCCGTTCAGGGTCCTGGTCCTTGCAAGTGAGGGCCGAGTTCGCGGTGCGCCCTAAGGGCTCCCGCAGGACCGCGCACCCTTGGGAGCCAGGGGCCGTCCCCCCTCTCCAGCGGCGCCTCCCACGTCAAACGCCTTCTGGAGCCAGCGCCAACGCCTGCATGTCGTTGAGGTCGAGCACGGGGTCGAGGTCGCCGTAGAGCCCGGGTCAGTAGAAGCCGCAACCGAAGCAGTAGTGGCCGTACCGCAAACACATGTGGCGTCGTCTGCCGAGCCTCCAGCAAGACTCGCGCCGCGGAAAACCAGGCTGAGGTCTTGGCAGAGCCAACCTGCAGCGGGTACCTTCCGCGGGGTCATTGCCTTCGCAGGCGCGGTGAGTGAGCGCCCGTCGTATGAACCCGAAGCACATGTGGCGTCGTCTGCCGAGCCTCCAGCAAGACTCGCGCCGCGGGAATCTGTGCTGAGGTCTTGGCCAAGCCAACCTGCAGCAAGCATCGTCCGCGGGGTCATTGCCTTCGCAGGCGCGGTGAGTGAGCGCCCGTCGCATGAAATCGACGAGGACGTAGTAGCACCAGGAGAGGTCGTCAGAAACGGGAGCGAGAAGCCGCCTGCCGTCGAAGTGGACGGTACAGAAGAGAGTGAACGTGAGGAGGCCGATCTTGAGAGTGCACCGCCAGGAGAGCTGCAGGTGGAACAGCTGTCACACGCTTGGCCATCACCAGCAGAGCTAGGAGCCCGACTCGCGAGCCTCAACCTTGGCCCGAGCAGCAGCAGCCTTAGCCCGTGCGAGAGTGTCGGCGCGCACCTTCTCGATCCTCTTCTCCTTATCGGTCGGCTCGGCAGGGGCCGCAGCAGCCACTGGGGCAGCCTTCGGCGCATCAGCCGCAGGCGCCTGAGAGGAAGCGGCGCTCTGGCTGCCCGCACCCTGAGAAGCCGCGACACCTGCTGCAACCGCACCATCCGTAGTCTTGCGCTTCTTGCGCAGCTCGCCCATCCGCTTCTGGTATTCCTCCTGGTGTGTCTTGTACTGGGACTTAATGCTCGTGAGCGCTCCGTGCAGTAGGGTCTTGACCTGCTGGGACTGCTCAAGCTTGAACTGCTCAAATCCCTCGCGGTCCTCGGCAGAAAAAGCCGGCCCCGAAACGTCCAGCTCTTCACCAAAGTCGAGCTTGATCTCCTCAGCGGAGTCCTTGAAGAGGTCGTCGAGGGAGATGACGTTCTTGCTGGGACTGGGCTCAGCAGGCTTGAGAACTCCGACGGCCAGCTTACGAGTGGCCTGCTCAAGATTGTCAGCGTTCTCCAGATCCCTCGCCATGAGCTCGTCAAGGTGCTTGTCCAAGTCGCTGGCCTCCTTGTCCAGCGCCGCGCGGCGCGCCAGGGCCTTGTCGAGCTTCTCTTTGGACGCCTTCTTGGCCTGAGATGCACGTTGCCACTCGGCCTGAGGTGTCGCCTGGGGCTGTGGCGGAGGCTTGGGCACGAACTGGGCGAGCAACTTCTGGGCAAGGTCTGGCGCGAGGTGCGAAGCCGCCTCCTTGACAGCCGCAAGAGTTTGAGGAGGGATGGCCTCGGAGGGGCCCTGCTGCACCTGCAGCGCCTGAGTACCCTTGCGCCAGCGACCCTTGGACTTGCTGCCTCCCTCGCCCCACCCAGACTCCTCAGCGCCGGTGTACAGAAGCATCTGGCCGCCGCCGCCGACAGAGGAGCTGATCGGGTGGCACTGGGACTGGCACCCGACGCAGAGATTGTGCCTCTTGGCCAGGAGGTCATCCCAAGTCCAGTGACCACAAGAGCACACAGTGTAAAGCCGAGCACCACGAACCTGCCCAGCCTTGGCGCCCCCAGGCGGAACTCGGATCCAGGGTTGCATCGTCCAGGATTCCTCCGCATCGTCGGGGATACGCCACGGGGCGGGGGCCATCGCAGCGCCGTAGCAACTAGCTCCGTCAGGAGCACACGAAAGATGGGCTGCCAGAAGCCCGTGCAGTACTGGCAAAAGCTGTCAGGCACAAGGCCTTGGCACTGCTGCGGACTAGCAGCTTCCAGTTCGGCACGAGGGCGCGGAGCCATCAGGTGCAGCATTCTTGAGCCAAAATGGCTACGGAGGAGCAGAAGAAGGAGGAGGAGGAGGAGGAGGAGGAGGAGGAGGAGGAGGAGGAGGAGGAGAAGGAAGAGGAGGAGGAGGAGGAGGAGGAGGAGGAGGAGGAGGAGGAGGAGGAGGAGGAGGAGAGAGAACGAAGAGGAGGAGGAGGAAGGGGAGGAGGAGGAGGATCAGGAGCGGCCGCCCCTCGTCGCCGCGCCCTCCCCCCCGCCCCCTCCTGCTGCGGTCCCTGGTGCGCCTCGCTCGCGGCCGCGGGGGCCTCCCGGGCGGGCGGCGGGGCCGGTCGGCGGGGCCGGTCGGCGGGGCCCACCCGCCGGAGCAGGCGGGCGCGCTGCGATCTCCGGCGCTGTGTTTGTTTGCTTGCTTGCTCGCTTGCCCCCTTTTTCGGCCGCGTCTTCCCCCTTCGGCTACACGCAGGAGTGTCCCTGGGTAAGAGTGACCTTTGGTGCGCGGCTTTTTGGGGGCCGCGGGGGGACCAAACCTGGGCGCACAAGTCGCTGCTCCTGCTTCGTTTGCAGCTATCTGGGGACCCATCTGTGCCCGCACCAAAGGTCACTCTTGCGAAAGGTCACTCTTACGTCTAGTCGACCCCTCTCCTCCTCTTGCATGGGGCACAGTTCGCCCCAACGGCATCCCCGTCTAGGCATCCCACCGCCAGCGCAGGCGTCCCCTGCCTGGCCGCCGGCACAAACATCGCTTGCTTGCTTGCTAGCTTGTTTTTCGTCTGTCCGTGTCGTTCGGTGTCTCCTCCTCGACAGAGGCCGGCGCGAACACAGGGTCGTCCGCGCCACAGGCCACGCACGCCACCGCATGCCCAAAGGGTGGGCAGTGGCGGGTGGCGCCACCGTAGATAACGTCTAGAGACCCCGTCCTGCTCTGATCACTTCTGCAGAGCGAAGTGGCTCGAAGAGCAGGTGCCGCTTCTTGTTGATTTGAAGTCGCGCTGGATTTTGCTTCACGCCTGCCAGCACCCGCGCTCCCCAGCTGCCTGGGGGCGGTGGTCCAGCACAGCCCTGAGAAAGATTGGCCGAGATCTTCGCTCCTCCCAGTCCACGCGCACAGCACACCACACGCCAAATCCGACGCCCCTCCTCCCCTTGGACGGCAAAAGCGCGCACGTCATGCTCTCTCTCGCCAGCCTGCAAGACGCGAGCGGAGGTCAGATCAGCACAAGAGAGGCTGGGTGGACAGATTGGCAGCGGTGGCAGCACTGAGAGAGCAGGCGGGGCGGCAGGCACATGGGGTTTCGTGCTGCTGCTTCTCTGTGGCCTAAAGACATGGATGCTATCGCAATCACACATTCGGTGCCCGATGCGCACGACCCACATGGCCCAACGCCAGAACACATCTGCTTTGCTCTTGCGGGCCGCGCGCACATCCTCGGGCACGCGAGCACGCTGAGCCATCCACTGGGACCAGTCGTCAGCATGGCTATTTCCCTCTTTCTCGAATCTGCTGGGGTGTCCAGCCGAATTCTCGCTTCCGTGCAAGGAGCTTGGATTTTGTGCAGCTCAAGAGACTCCAGGCCTCCTTGGTCCGCGGCTGATGGCTGACCCTCATACTTTTTATTCCCAGCCATGCTGTGGTGATGGGTTGTCGTCTTGAAAAGACAGCGCCACGCGTCTCCTCCTCCTCCTCCTCCTCCTCCTCCTCTCCTCTCCTCTCCTCTCCTCTCTCTCCTCTCTCCTCCTCTCCTCCCTCCTCCTCCTCCTCCTCCCTCCTCTCTCCTCCTCCTCCTCCTCCTCCTCCTCTCCTCTCCTCCGCCTCCTCCTCTCCTCGCCTCCTGCCTCGCCTCTCGCTCGCCTCGCCTCGCCTCTCCTCTCCTCTCCTCTCCTCCTCTCCCTCCTCTCCTCTCCTCTCCTCTCCTCGCCTCTCCTCTCCTCTCCTCCTCCTTCCTCCTCCCCCGTCTCCCTCCTACCATCCCTGCCTTTGCTCTCCGCACCAGTCAACCGTTTCGGCACACCCCTCACACGTTTCGTGGCCCCGTAGGAAGCTCCACCGAAGGCCCCAATGGCGATGTTTTCATGCCTTTCCCCCGCTCCGGACAACGTTTCGTGGCCCCATAGGGAGCTCCACCGAAAGCCCTACTGGCGGTGCTCGCATGTCTCCCCCGCCCAATACAGCGTTTCGTGGCCCCTTCGGGAGCTCCACCGAAAGAACCCATGGCTGTGTTCGCATGCGTCTCCCCCGCGCAGTACAACGCTTCGTGGCACCACAAAAAGCTCCACCGAAGGCCCCAATGGCGGTGTTCGCATGCGTCTCCCCAGCGCAGTACAGCGTCTCGCAGCCCCATGCGGAGCTCCACCGAAGGCCCCGATGGCCGTAGTCGCATGCGTCTCCCCCACCCAAGACAAAGTTTCGTGGCCCCAGAGGGAGCTCCACCGAAGGCCCAGTGACAGTGTTCGCATGCCTCTCCCCAACCCTGTACACCGTTTCGTGGCCCCATAATCAGCTCCATCGAAGGTCCCAGTTGCGGTGTTCGCATGCGTCTCCCCCAACCCAATACAACGTTTCGTGGCCCCATAGGGAGCTCCACAGCAAGTCCCAGTGGCGGTGTTCCTACGCATCTCCACTCAGTTCAGCGTCTCGTGGCTCCACAAGGGATCTCCACCGAAAGCCCCAGTGGCGGTGTTCGCATGCGTCTCATGGCGGTGTTCGCATGCGTCTCCCCCACCCAGCACAACGCTTCGTGGCCCCAAAGGGAGCTCCACCGATGGCCCCAATGGCGGTGTTCGCATGCGTCTCTCCAACCCAGTACAACGTTACGCGGCCCCAACAGGAACTCCGTCGAAGGTCCCACTTGCGGTGTTCGCATGCGTCTCCCCCACCCAGTGCAACGTTTCGTGGCCCCATAGGGAGCTTCACCGAAGACGATAACCACGGATGCGGTGCTCACAGCTGCAGATTTTTGAATCCTGCGCCAGGCTAGTTTTAACTCCCCTCTCTGCCTCCGAAGCCGCAGAATTATATTCAAAACGTGGCCTCCACGCGACCCAGCCTTCAACCGTCGTGCTTCATTCGCAACGCGGGCCCCCAGAGGCCTGGACCCGCTCTTCGTCCCGAGCCGCCTCTGGACGGCCCCAAGGACCAACAAAGGGCCCCTGGAGGCCGAACTCTGACAAAAGCCGCCCGTCGCGTCTTCTTCGTCACGAGGAGAGGCGGGGGGACGGGGGGGGCATGGGCGCAGCGTCGCAGCACTCCTGAAGGCCGCGCGCAGCCGCACAGGGCTGGCGTGCGGGGGCGGACGCGGCGGGCACGTGGGCGCGGGGGGGGCGGGGCTCGGCGCGACAGAGGGCCGCGCGACAGAGGTGGCGTCGTTGCGCTCGGCTCGGCGGCGAGCCCGGGAGGGAAGCGACGAGGAGAAAACCCCTTCAGAAGGCTCGGAAGTCCCCGGGCCTTCGGAAAAGTTTTCTAAGCCTTCCCCGGCAAGCCTTCCACTAATGCAAAGAAAACTTCTCGGGTAGCGCGAGGGCTTCCGAGAAGTCCCGCCGCCTTCTGAAAGGGTCATCTCCTTCTCGCTTCCCCCCCTCGCTCGCCGCCGATCGGCAGGGGTCGCGGGCGAGGAATCTGCGACGAGGCCGACTGGCCGACCGGGGGCAGAAAACGGGAGGGCGCGGGCGGGCCTCCAGAGGTCTCGATGGCGGGCGGCAGGGCGGATCTCAATGCCGTTGGGGGAAAACGGTCACCGCTGGTGCGCACTCCCCGCGCGCGAGAGCTATCCTGGCCCACGCGCGGGTGCTTGGCCTGCCTGCAGCGCCTCCAGCATGGCGTCGCCCTCGAGCTCTTCTCAACTCATATAATCGAGGAGCCCGCACGGAGGATCTCAGCAGGACTTTCGCTTAACGTGATGCGGCGGCGGTCCTGGCGACGCGCTATCCCTTGCAAGCGGGTAGTAGCGTGTCGCTCCGCTGCGCGGTGCGGGAGGCCTCGAACGGCTCGGGACATTGACGCTTGGTGAGAAGAGGAGGAGGAGGATGAGGATGAGGATGAGGATGAGGATGAGGATGATGATGATGATGATGATGATGAGGAGGAGGAGGAGCAGGAGGAGGAGGAGGAGTAGGAGGAGGAGGAGGAAAGAAAAGGGGAGGAGGAGGAGGAGGAGGAGGAGCAGGAGGAGTAGGAGGACAAGGAGGAGGAGAAGGAGGAGGAGGAGGAGGTGGAGGAGTAGAAGAGTGTGTTGCGCCGAAGCGTGGTGGGCCAGAACTGGAAGCAAGACACGCTCAGCCAACATTCCCGACCGAAATGGCCACACCATGTGCCACCTAAAACTCAAGGCCAAATTTCGTTGGCTAACCATAGGCTCATTGGCTTCCCACGCACACGCACACGATGGAGCAACAGCTGAGTCCATATCGAACTTTTTAGCATGAGCCCGACGCGACCCCAATTCGGGGTGTCGTGATTGCTGAGTACTTTCATGTGCAACTGAATGCGAACAAGTGCCACGCCACCAAGGGCCATACGGTACAAAACATGGTCCATTATATATATATATATATATATATATATATATATATATCAGTGCGAAACAAATACCACCTCCCAGCAACGCACGGTATAGGATCACGGTGTAGCATTTAACTGCGTTGCATGGTATATCGTAGCATGCTGTAGCATTGTATTCCATAGCAGTCCATAACATGCCATAGCCTTGAACATGACTTCTAGACCTAACACAATATACGACAACATGGCAGCGCACAACCAAGCAACGCATAACACATCGTAGCGCAACGCACGACCGCACAACAAAGACATACAAACTGTGCGCGGGGATGCGGCGCCCGTGTCGTGGTGACCCAGCCTGGACACGGACATAAGACAACGCCACCCATGAAGGAAGCCTGATTGGGACATCTTCGGAGATGGGACCGTGCCATCTTGTCAGAGGAGGCTCGGCTTAGATGCGTCGCGCGAACCCTGCACACGTATAACAATGCAAGCTTCAGGCTAACCGTCGACCCAACACGAAGTGCACTCATGTTCTTCAGCTACATGTCCGTGACATAACCTACCCTAGCCACGATGCGCAGAAAGGTGCCGTCCAAATGCCGTCGGAAGAGCCTGCCAGCCCCCGCGCGACCCGCCAGCAGCGAGGCACTCTGGCGGTGGACGTGCACGACTTTGCAACTCAATTGCGGATCTCTTCCGATCGGATTGGCTTTCTAATGGCTCATCTCGAAGAAGCACGCTGACCATGACCAACATGTTGCGGGATCTCGTCGACGCCGATCTTGGTCATGGTCCATGTCGACCGTCGCACATTCGCGGGGATGGTCCACGACTGGACGGTGACCAGGGCCCAACGGTGACCAGGATCGGCATCGACGCTTTCCGCGTTCGGTCTTGGTCGTGCTCGCCGTTGTCTCTCCCTCCGTCGTGCCTCCCGCCCCCCCCCCCCCGCGGTCCGACAGCGTGACGTCAAAGAAGCCGCCCGACGCCGCAGCCATCTGCACGAGCCTCGCCCCCCTCCCCCCCCCCCACACGGCCGCTGGCGCGCGCCCGACCCACGCTGCAGCGGCAGGGCAGACGGCATGCACACGGCGCGCGCCGCCTGGCTGGTGCAATCCCAGCGCGCCCCCGCCGTCGGTTGAGCCTGGGCACCCGCGGCTCATGTGCCGACCTCTGGAAATTGACCAAGCAGATGCCTTTCACAGCATCGCAACCGCCACCTGCCGTGGGCACGAAGCGCAAGGATGAGAGCCGCGGGGGCAAGGCTTCAAAACAGCACGACGAGGAACCGCAGGAGGGAGGAATAAATCGAGAACACTTTTGCACCCGTTGGCCAACGCAACATGCTGATACCAACGGAGAGAATATACAAGGGAGGCCATGATATGGCCCGTTGACGCCTCCGCACACATGCCAGACATTACCATTAGGGAGGTTGCCTGGACACATCTCCGAAGAAACCCGCACACGCCTGGAGCGAAAACACCGTGTCAAGTATTGCAGATCAGACCCGCTGCTCATGCGTGCATAAAGGCTAAGGCTTGGATTCCGCGCGGATTTCCTTGGGTCGGTGCTGGGCCCCCCTTCCCCTGGCGCGCGGAGCACAAAGGGAATCCAGTGCCTATCCAAGAAATCCGCGCGGAACTCCGAAAGTTTGTGCCCGTGCCTATCTGTTCCTCGACTGCAAGCCTCTTCGTCCACCCCCCCCCTCCCCCTCGTCCTCCTCCTCCTCCTCCTTTCCCCTCCTCTTCCCCCCTCTTCCTCTTCCTCTGTCTTCCTCCTCCTGCTGCACCTCATCGTGGCATGCCCGAAACGGTTACGGAAAAACGGGGTACGATGCCCCACAGGAAAAGGTGTCCCAGATCGACAGCGGCCGCTGTCGTTCAGGCGACTGTTTACCTCGTGCAGACAGACCCGCGGCGACGCCGCCAGCGAGTCCTGTTCAGACTGGGCAAGAACTGCTGTCGGTCTTCATCCCCGCTCTTTTCGCACTCATCCCGATGGCACCGATGGGTTTTGTGCGAAGGCCCGCCCTCTCAGCCCTCCCCCTGGGCATGCTGCAGAGTCTGGTGTTCAGGTCATCGGTCGACCCTCCTGTGGCGTTTCGGGACGACCTGGGCACTCCCAAGACGCTGTCGGCAAGGATCAGCCGCTGGAAAGTTTCCCGAGGCTGGAAAGCCGCTGGGAACCGACGAACATGTACTCGAACATCTTCGCCCCCATTCTTTCCGTACCCGTTTCGCTCGCACCGATCGTCCGCACCCCTGGGCTCGGGCCCTCCCACCGCCGGTGCACGAATACATCGCCAGAGTAGTCCCAGATGCGCCCTGCCGCGCGGGACAAGGGTGAGAAACGAACTGTGGGAGGAGGGGGGGGAGGAGGGGGAGGAGACGCAGGAGGACGAGGAGGAGGAGGATGAGGAGGAGCAGGGGGAAGTATAATTGCGGGGGTTGGAAGCTGTACGGGAGAAAACATGGCGGCAATAAAATGTTGATTGCGATGTTTATAAGCTCCGTACTTTATGCAGGTACGTGCCGGCGCTGAAGCCAAACGACGGCAGAGTATTCGATTTGAGTCGGGATTGTGCGGGCGATCGAACAGCTCTGGCGGAGAAGAGGGACAAAAGAAGAAGGGAACCATACATGTCCAATCACCAACAAGTTCTAGACTCAGCAAAGAGACCCCGTCGCTCTCTGATCTAGAGGCGCGCGACGCGGCGAGGCGCGACCTCACTCTTTCGACGGGTAGCTCACTCGTGCTCTTCGGAGCGGCACTGGAGGAGCTCGCACGTGTGAGCGATGGTGAAATGAGTTCTCTCATGCCGCATCTGTGTATATTGGTGACCTCGGGCCGCAGACGTGATGTTTGAATGCCCGCCGTACGACTTAGGCGAAGTGATGGCCCCGGGGCCACGTGGAGAGCGAGGTGGAGGTGTGAAGACGCCTTGACCTGGCAGGTAGGAGAAGGTGATGGATGGAGAAAAACCATGAGGGATGCGCGCACTTTTGGCACAATCGCCTCGAATCTCACCGCGCATGGAAGTATTGGGAACCACTCCGTCAACGACGAAAGACCACCTCCTCGTTGGGAATGCCGCGGGCCTCGGCCTCCTGAGCCTCGGCACTGCCCGTGGGTGAGGGCTGGCCTGGCTCGCCAGCGGCAGCCCCTCGGAGGGCCGCGCTGGCGCGCCGGTGCTTGACCTTTTCCAATGCCCTGCGTGTCTTCTTCTTCTTCTTCTTCTTGGGCTGGTCGGCGCCGGTCGCGTGCTAAGGCTCGTTCTTGCTCTTGTCCTTGACCTTGCCCTTGTTCGACGCGATCGCGGCGTGCCCGCGAGAGCCTATGGGCGCCGCGACTCCCATCCTCGTCCAGAACGGGCGCGGTGTGGTCGGCCTCCAGCTCAAGCCGCGAGCAGCGCTGTCCTCGTCGAACTTCGCCTCGTGGTCCTGGGGCAGAGATGGAGGCCTGGGCAGAGTCCCTTGTGACGTGTGCCGCTGGGGAGGAGTGCGTGGCACGCGCTCGCCCTGTGGCGTTGGGGAGCGCGATGGCCGCGGCGTCGGCGGCGCGGGCCTCGTGGGACCCATCGGGCCGCTCTTCGAAGAGGGCGTGCCCGGGGTCGAGTCATCAATGGTCAAGAGAGGGTCTTGCCCGAACCCTGGCCACGAGCCGAGATTGGTGAGTGCCCAGCATCGGCGACGCTATGCCCTCTGTTGTGCAGTCCCTGAAGCCCACTCGGCGGACAGTTTGGCGTTGTGCATGACCGGGGAAAAGGCGTGTGGCTTGTTGTCGTATAGCGGCTGCATGTCGTTCACCCAGCCCACAGCTTGGCGAACCTTGCAGGTGAGCGCGGCGTGCGTTTCCGGCTCCATGACCTGCGCTGAGTACAGCCTCCTACGTGCCAACACCTCAGGGGTCGGGCCGCTGACGTGCCATTTCTTGACGAACTCCACCGTTCCGGCGTCACTCTTGCTGAATGCAGGGGGGCGTGAATCTTCCGCGAGCGCCGGGGATGGCATGTCGGGGGGCAGTGGGGGCCTTGGCGGAGCCAGCGCGAAGGCCATGCTGGTGGGCAGCGTCCGCGCGTGGGACATGGCAGCTGTTCGGCGCATGCGTGGAGACGGCGGGCGAGGGCGGGGCCGAAGAGCCGCATGAGCCCGGACGTGACCTCGAGAAGCAAATTAAGTTAAGGTGGCGCGCTGGGTGCGCCCTTCATCCTTGAACTGCTGAAGCAGTTGCTGTAGCATTCGCGCTTGCCCCTGGCGGTGTTGGGGCATCAATGGAGGCGTGCCAGGGGGGCGGGCCATGCCCAGCCTTGCCTTTTGGGATGCCACGCGTTGACCATGTGCCAGGAGGGGGCGTCGGAGATCGAGCGCGTAGTTCCGTTCGACCCGTGGGCGTCGCGAGTGCCGCGTTGTCTGATGACCATTCTTCTTCTGTGGGCGACAGCGACGCAGAGGGCGCGGTTCGCGAGCGACGAGGCGGCGACGGTCCAGGAGGCTCCGGCGACTTATTCCGCGGCATGCTGGCACGCGCGCGCGCGGCAGCGGGTAGCTGCCAGCTCGCGTCGACGTGCGCTGGGTGCCCGCGCGGGTGCCCGACGGCGCGCGAGCCCCGAACCGCGGCTCGGCGCGCTCCGGCCAGTCGGCGCACGAGCTTGCTCCTGAGAGAAAACGGCAGCGGTATCATGTACTTTAGTTTCTGTTTCTCATGACTACTTCCTTGTCCCGTGCGCCCGTGCACATGTGCGCCTGTATGCGTGCCTCGGCGCTTGCTGGACAGTGCGATGATGAGACTCCTGCCGGCATTCTCCTTCCTAAACTGCCGCGCTGCAACGTGCCTCCCAACCGTCATGCGCAATGTGACGAGCCTTCTGACAGGGGTGAGAATGAGGGGGGGCGGATGGCTTCGAGGGAAATGGAGCACGAAACGGTCCACATACACATGCTGATAACTGTTAGATGCCAGAAGTCGGCTGGTGCTCATGGCCTGAGAGCAGAGTGAGCTTGCCGGCCGAGGCGAGGGCGACGGTGCGGTGTGCGTGTGTGACCTCTGGCGAGATCCACCAGCCACGTCGTGGAGTGCAGATCTGTCGATGCTGCCCTTGGTCAGCCCATCTGCGACCATGTCTCGCGTGCCTTCCCAGCTCAGGGCCAACCTAAGCACGCGTGGCAATGCTGAGTGTTCTGCCGGGGGCTCGGGCCTCGTAGCCGTGGCGGCGGTGGCCGCTCCCATTGAAACCAGGCAGAGTTCAATTTGCACTGCGAGTGACTGCTGACCATCTCGTTAGCGACGTGCTGCTTCAGGGCCTCGGGACCCCGCGAATACCTTGTGGAAGGGTGGTGGTTAGAGCGAGGCCGTGATCGGTTGCGCTGATCGCGGCCGTCAGCTCACTTGTAGAAGGTGCTTCGTGTCACCGTCTTGAGTGCCCCGTACTGCCAGTCTAGTAGGTGGCGCGTTTGCCTGCCAGCGAATGTCCGTTCAGCGTCTGTGCAACTAGCGCTCATGCGCAGGAAGCCGGCCCCTCGCGGGGCCCGTCCAGCGTCGGCGCCTCCCCTCTGTTCACTTTCTGAGCGCGGCATCGCTGTGTATTTCTACATGTGCTTGCGCGGCGCCTAGGTGGATCGGATAATTGAATCGTGGTGGCTATGCCTCCGCCCATCTCGCCAGCGCGTTGGGATTCCGTTTGTGGCCGCGCGTCGGCGCAGCTGCATGGCGCCGAAGCGCGACCACGTAGACGCGTGGGTCGATTCGCGTGATGAGCGAAAGCCAGTGCCATGAGCAGTCCGAGGCGCAAATTAGCCAGGTTCTCTGAGACGAACTCGGAATTGGAGTTGCCGGCGACCTCGGCGCTTCCGATTGCTTTCCGGGCCTGGGTGCGCTCGATGTGGTCCAACTCATATCCGCCGTCGTGTGTGTGTGTGTGTGTGTGTGTGTGTGTGTGTGTGTGTGTGGGGGAGTGACGCGTGCCGCAGCATGCGACGGTTCCTTCGCCGATATCTAGCTCACCTATTACCACGGGCATCCTCCGAACACTGACGTAACTAAGATTTTTCCTGCGGTGGTCCTGCTACCTTGATGTCGTCGATGTTTTTGGTGGCCAGCAGAACGAGTTCGCCCTCCTTATGCTTGGCGACAAAATCGTTGTCGTCCAGTGTAGGGATGGCTTAGCTCATTTGATTCGTGATCGCGGTGCGTCGGGTGGGCCGGCATCTCGGGGCATTCTTGCACCAGGTGCCTGGTTTCTCCACGTGGGGAACTTCAAATGCTGGGTCGAACTTCTCGTGCCCATGTACTTTGCGCAAGACTGCGACGGCGTCGGGGCAGAGCTTGAAGTTGACCTCGCGCCCATCCACGCCTGTAGCCCGCGCGAGTTCCTGGTGGCTGACGCCGTTCAAGCAAGCTTTCTTGACGTCCCACGCGTCGATCGTCCTTCCTCGGCAGGCGGCCCCGGATGTAATCGTGCTTTGGGAGAGTCGCGACGAAGTGCCAGCGCAAATTGCGATGAGATCGGCGTCGGCGTCCTTGAAGCCTCCGCGGGTCAGCCTCGCGCGGGTGATCCGTGGTGTCTGCGCGTGATTTACTTTGCTTCGTGTCCACTTCTTCGACATGCCTACCCGCTCGCCGTCAAGGATGTTGCGCTCTCCTCGGCGTGGGCGCCACGAGAAGCAGTTGTGATCTACCTGTGCTTGCGTTTTCCTCGGGCACCGCGGCCGCGACAGCTGCGGCGTGCTTTCGAAACTCTTCGGGGGTGAGCAAGTCGGTGTCGCGCTCGACCGCTGCCTTCTTGGTTCCTGCCGCGTGGGCCCAGAGGCGTGCGGGGCGCCCCTCTGGAACTGGGTGGTCTAGCATCCATGTGTGCAACTCGTCCGAGGCCAGCATTTCCACGTAGGCGTTGCCGTTCTCAATCACGTCGAAGGGCTCCGAGGTAGCGACCTGGCTGAAACTCAATCTCTATGATCTCCTCGGATGCGACCGACTCTGAGAGCAGCGCGTTCTTCATGGCTGCCTGTTGGTCCTGTGTCAGGGAGGTCCACCGGGTGGTATCGATCGCGCGTTGGTTGCTGAGGGAGTCTTCGTGAGACCACTCTTCAATGGTGGACAGCCTCCCGTCGTCGTGTGTGGAGTCGTCGAAGCGTGTGCTGGTTCCCGAATGATCGGCATTACCCCCTCGTGGTGTCTGCCACCTAGAGCTCATGTTTCACGAGATTTGCGAAGCAGCGTCTGGCTAACTCCCAAAGTGCGCACAGTAGATGCACACATCTTGCCGTGGTTGGGATCCAGGAGCAACGGGGCTTAGTCGGCAAGTCTCAAAACTCCACCAAGTCCCCAC